GTACATATAGCCATGGTGGATAATGGAAAAGGGAGGCCCTTCAAAAGGGAAGAGTCAGAGGTCACAGAGGACAGAGTGACAAAGGAGTTCTTCTCAGAAAGCAGAATCAGAGTTGAATATAAGAACTTAATCTAGGCCTTCCTAATGCTCTCCAAGCAGTATTTCAGAATTGCTATGAACCATAATGGGCGTGTGTGTTTTCCTCCTTTTCAAACAAGGTCTTTAATTTGCTGTTACTCTGTCCCTGTGCCACCATTGTATATTGGGTGTGTGTAGAGTAGGGGGTGGGTCGGGGGGCAGATAATTTTTCTTTTTAGTTCATAGGTCACTGGACCACCAAGAGACCTGATGGAGAGTAGTGGGACATTGGCAATCTTGAGCTTTGACCTTGATGTGGTGACTGGGAAAGATAAGTGTGGAGGAATAGTGAAACAGGTATTTGGTAACAAGAAGAGCAGACCATGTTAGAGACTGATGGAGTTGATCAAAGTCTGTTTCCTTTGCCTTCTACGTGCAGAGCTAGTCTACTTCCTTGATGTTAAACGAAATCATGGGACTCAGTTCTGGCCAATGGAATATGCAGGAATTGAAGTACAATACTTCTATTTTTGACTCCTGCAAATGTCCTTGAGATCCTCCATGCTGTAGAGAATTCACTGGAGGGTTCTGTGGCCTCAGGGATGGCAGCGCCACTAGATGGAAAAATCCTGGGTCCCTGAATAACCATATGAGGCAGAGCCTCTGACGTGCTTTGGAACATGACATGAGCAGGAAATAAGAATTAATTGTGTCAAATAATCTAGCAAACAAATCTTTACTTTGTTGAGATTTTGGAATAATCTATTATCACAATTAGTCTACCTTGCCCAATGCAGCCATTAAAGCTACTTGCAATGAAACAAATAGGATATGTGTTGGTTTTACCTATTTCCCTCCAATTTTTTTTCACCAAATAATCATAGAAGACTGATATAGTTTGGCTGTGCCCTCATTCAAACCTCAGCTTCAATTTTATCTCCCAGAATTCCCATGTGTTGTGGGAGGGACCCTGGGGGAGGTAATTGAATCATGGGGACTGGTCTTTCCCATACAATTCTCGTGATAGTGAATAACAAGATCTGATGGGTTTATCAGGGGTTTCCACTTTTGCTTCTTCCTCATTCTCTCTTGCTGCTGCCATGTAAGAAGTGCCTTTTACCCTCCGCCATGATGATGAGACCTCCCCAACCATGTGGAACTGTAAGTCAAATTAAACCTCCTTTTCTTCCCAGTCTCAGGTATGTGTTTATTAGCAGCGTGAAAATAAACTAATAAACTAATAAACCTCTGGGGCTAAAACCCTACTTTTGACTGAGACTGAGTTTTCTCTTATGGCCCACATTGTTCTTGTCTTCTGAAGTTAGCCAGTCACCAAGTATTACTGAGTGTCTAAACTCAGATCAACTACTTACTAGCTATGTGACCTTAAGCACATGTTAGCTTGTTTGTGCCTCAGTTGCCTCATCTGCAAAATAGAAATAATAATAGTACTTACCTTGGGTTTTTGTGAAAATTAAGTAAATTAATCCATATATAGTGCTTAGCAGAGCAGCTGGCACATAGTAAGTGATCAGGAAATGTTATATGATCATCATCGTCATCATCATCAGTTGCTTGGCACTATGAACAGCATTGAATGAGATATGCAAGATCTGGTCTTCCATGAGATGTCTGCTATTTCAGGAGCCTTATTTTTGATCTTGCACTTGTTCAGCATAGTCTCCATTAAATACTTAATTTGAAGAGAAGGGTTTTGCCTCCCTCTAATCTACTCTAGAATACACTGATTACAGTTGAAGATGTTCTCTGTTTAGCTGAGTGTTCTGAGTCAGTATCCGTGTTCCATTTAGAGGCTGTGAGTGCAGTATTTGTTTGTACCCTGCGGCAATTGGAGTGGGAGGAATAGAGGGAGGTTAACATCCCTATTGCTGGAAGGAACTACTTTCTGCTCAGAGCCACTTCCTGCTTGGATTGACTTCCTTACAGCCACTTCCTACTTAGAATACTAAGATAAAAACAGCTGCCATTGTACCTACAGAAGTACACTTTCCTTCTTTTCCTGTCCCTGTTCTCAAGGTACACTGCCAAGGCATCTCACTTATGATGGTGTATAGGCAACACTTGCAAAACCCAGGAGGTTTAGAATCCTTTCCCTTCTTTATTAAGCTATGAGAAAAGAGGCTGAACTTATACCAGCGATGGCCTCATCCAGCCCCCACACCATGCATTTAGATGCCTGATTTACCTGCTTGCCTGAGTTAATGTCTTTTTGTCCATGCCATCTCCCTATCACACACCCTTCAGTGATGCTAACTAGGCAGGCACACCCACTTGCCTTGGCATGTTTTATGGACGACCCAAGCTGCAAACATCAACATGTATAAGACATATGCTCTCTTCTTTGTGTAATTTCAGGCACCAAAATATGCCTACACAGAGGGGTATGTGCATACAGACACACGCGTATTCTTTTTTTGCCTGGTAGAAATATACTTCTGTGATGTTCCTTCAGCTCCCACACATGCCCCTCCATGGCTGGCACATCTCCTAATTATTCCCATCCACTCCCTCCCATAGACCTTTTGTGTGTATATTTTGGCACACATTCTCTTCGTTCCGCCTAGTTCCTTTCTCTCTTTCTTTCTCTACCTCCCTCCCTCTCCCTCTCCCTCTTCACAGCTCTTAGGAAAATTTGTTAAACTATACACTCTTTATTATTAATGTACATTTATGAAAAATTCTTCACAGTTACAAAAGTGCATGGTTATAAAATCATCTCCATACAAAGATTGACATCTTCCCTCTAACCCCACCCCTCCCCAGCCCTCCCACCCCCAGACATTAGCACATTACAGGACAGTGCTTAGAAAAACTGAGAGCTCTGTGGATCCAGCTCTCCGCCCAGTGCTGTGACAAACACAATAGTGATTTACAAAGGACCTTCTGACGCCCTCACTTCCCTTTTGCCTCTTCCTGGGGTGGGGAAGAGCAGACAATTTTCTCTGGCTTTAGGAAGATGTCCTTTTGAGGAATGGATCAAGATATATCTTTTTACTCTTCTACTGCTGGAAAGGATGTCAGCACAGACACCTGTAGGGGAAAATGGAAGCTGCAGGTCTTCCCCCATGGTTGAAGACAAACACCTCTCTTGATCTGTTCAAATTTCATACATGTCCCTCCTTGAAAGGAGCCATGAACCTCTATAGCAACTCTGGAGACCTGTTTCTGCAAAGTTCCCTGGGAATTCCTCTAGGAATGGAGAAAGAGAGATGAGGGTTTGTCTAAGAGTGACCAGAGATAACTGGCCCAAAGTGGTATGATTGAGATATGAGGGGTCTTCTAAAAAGGAATTTTCTTGGCCCAAATCTTGACCAAGCTGAACGTTGATATCCTCTGGCCCAGCATGGAGGAAGCTTCTGCAATGAGGGCAAGTCTCTGAAGGGCAGGAGAGAGCAGAGGGAAGCAGGGAGAAGAGTCAGGTTCTCATTGGGATTCCTCTGCCACAGATTTTTCTCCTTTATTTTTTGAGTATCCAGTCCTGCCCTAAACCTGGTGGGATTCCATCTTAATCTATCAAACAATGTAATATTAGTTTGGTGCAAAAGTAATTGCGGTTTTTGCTATCACTTTTAATGGCAAAAACCGCAATTACTTTTGCACCAACCTAAATATGCCTATTTAGGCATGTTTACTTATGCATATTTAGCCACTCAGCCTATGACTGAGTGCAGTATGTCAGAGAACTGAACCTAAATTCCAGAAAGATCTGTCCCACGTCAGCAGACAGCCAACATACAAGGAACCTCACAGACAGACATGCAGATACAGAGATACCCCATTACATACACGTTAACCAGTTTGGACAATCTGAACGAAGCCTGTGGTCACCAGGGATGTGGGAGCAATTCCAGTCAGGATTGCTAGATTATCTCTGGAAGCTTGCTTCTGATAGCTTGGACAAGATGATGGCAGTCGGGGAGAAGCAGGGAATTCCTTGGCAGTAGGGAGGTTGAATACTTTCCTCATTGTGCTCTAATAAACCGAGGAACCTCTAGCAGCAGGAGAAACATCTCTCCTTTAAAAGCCATGTGTCCTGCTCAGAAGGGTTTGCCTTTGATGGAGACCAAATTGTCCCACTAGAAAGGACATTGATGTCAAGGGGGCATTTGGTGTCTTTTCTGGTTCTAGTCCTATGCAAAAAAGCATGTGTCTTAAAATATATTAACTATATTTTGGCAAACAATAGTTCCTAGGAGATTATTATAGTATTATGGTATCCCTCTATGGGAAACTTTTCTGTTTTGTCAGGATTAAAGTTTCTAAAAGTTCCTCTCCAAGTATTTAGGTTGCCGGCCTGGCTTGTAGAGAACAGCTCGAGTTCACCATCCTTGGTCATCACAGAAGGAGAGAGCAGGGCACAGTTCTGCTTCGGATGTCACAGGGCCAGGGATTTGTCCCAGATGTTGTAAGCAAGATTCAGGGGACACGGGTTCAAGTACTTCAGGTCTAGCAGTTTCTGAAGACTCTTTCGCTTGACTAGCTCAGGGAAGCACGACTGAGGGATACCTTCCTGGAAGATGATATATTAGCCTCCTTCATTCCTTTCAGGCTTTCCAGGAGGATAGGATGGTGGAATACTGCTGGAGCTTGGGACAAGGTAGGTGGAAAGCCCCTGTTTTAATTCTCCTCCTGGCCAGACTTCTCAGCATGTTGGACTGTGCCTTCATGTTCTTCTCCTAAACTGCAGGGGTTCTCACCTGTAGCTTTCTTGCTCTCTTATTATCTCTTGCAACACACACAGCAGGGCTTGAGTAGGAGTGGTTAACACAACTTCATCTCTTGATTCCCAAAGATCTTACTTTTCACATGACTGCCACCATGGTCACCCCTGCTGATGTTTTATCTACACGTTGTGAAGCAGGAGTCTCCTATTCAGATGTTACCTGTGTAGTTTCTGTTTCAGAGCCTGCAATTTGCCCTACCGTGAGCATAGTTCAATCTGTACAGCAGATGGGTTTGACTACCTTCTATTTAGCTGATCCACTAGCACATTCATGGATGCTGAATTCCAGGGCCCCACTACCCAGCCCTCTGAGGCATTCTCTTCCCCAAGCACTTGGGAAAGCACTGGAAAGAGAACCGTGTTCGGGTTGAGTCCCAACCTTGTCACATAGACAAGTCATACCCAACCTTGAGACTTTTTTTCTCCATCTGTAAAACAGGATTACCAATGTTTGATTTACCTCCTGCACAGGGTTGTGAAAAGTCAAGGAGAATGATGCAAAAATACTCATGAACTATCCAGTGCTGAACAAATAGAGGGCAGATAATGATGACACTGACGAAACTGACGAGGAAGACAACGATGATAATTGTGCTTTGCTCGTAAAGTTACTTGATTTTTGACTGACTGATTAGATGCAGTTTCCCTGAATGGAGCTGCCTACCACTTTCCTCCTAGGGCTTATCCAGACAACCTTGGGTAAGTCACTCAACTCTCTAAGATTAATTCATCGGTCAAATGGGGATAATAAAAAACCACCAGGCAGTGTTGCTGTGACAATTGAAAGAAGTGAGTCAATAGATATAAAAGTGCCCGGAGGAGTGCCTGGACCTTATGAGGAACTTTGTCAGCTCTAGTTGAATTTGAATTTATATAACTCTAGAGGAAGTGGTGATGTTCCAAAACTTAGATGGGGCAGTAGAAAGAGCACGGACTTTATCGTGCTCATAGTGGCATATGACTTCAACCTCTCTGAGCCTTAATTGCCTCATCCATAAAATGGGAACAACAGCGTTCACCTCAAAAGATTTGTGTGTGTGTTAAAGGGAATGGTTTGTGGAGAGAGCTTTTCACAGTGCCTGACACTGCCAAGGGCTTAGTATTTAACAGCTCTCTCACCCTTATGCTTAACGTGGGTAAGTTGCTTAGAAGAAAACGCAAAGCCTCATATGGTCGTAACTGTGCTGCCTTTGTCCCCTTTTAGCTCTGGGTGCTGCCAGGTTACGGGTCTGTGGCCCACCGTGCACTTTCCTGGTGAGACCCTGTGGCATGAGCACTGTGGCAAGAACAGTCACACGATTAGGGTCCCAAGGTGCCAGGACTCTTGCTCCCCCAGTTGCTGGGCCTCCTGCCTCTCTCTTCTGAAGCCAAGCTTGAGTGAGAGGCAGGTGAAAGGGCATTGACAGTGTCCATCCTCAGCCTGCTGCCTGGGACCTCACCAACTGGTGACAATTGGTCATATGGGGGCAGTCACTGGGAGGTGGTCTCACCTGGTAGCTGCTGGTGGAAGGAGGCCAGGGGCTGGTATGGAGGTGTTCTTACTCCCTGGAGGCAGTGGCTGGCATTGCTGAGAGCTGACAGTTTTAGTGTCAGGAGGTGGGGGGTAGGTTTGAGTTCTGTGCCACACCCCCTCTATACAAGTAAGTGACCAGGAACTGTTCACTCTTCTCAACACAGCGCACTATGCAATTCTGGCCTCTGCCATTTGCAGACACCCTTCTTTGCCTACCTGATGAAGTAGATATTTCCTGATGACCCAGTTCACAAATCACACTAATCTTATAATTCTCATGGACATTGCTAGACACAGATGATGGCTCCTCCTCTGGGCCTCCATAATGGCGTGCTCAGAATCCTGACATACAGTCTTAAAGGGAATAGTTTTGGATCTCTCTCCTTGACCAGAGGGAAGTGCCTTGAGGGCAAGGACTGAGTCAATTCATCCGACGTTCCCAGTTCCTAGGGCACCGCCTGGCCCAAAGCAGATGCTCATACAAAGTGAGTGTCTCCCCCTTGCTTGAACCATGACTGAGGCAGCCAGGTCACCATGGAACCAGAGTGGGCAGTCAGGGAGGGCGTCTGGTGGCCAGTGGCTGTGGCGGTCAGCAGCATGGAGGGATGAGAGGCAGGCATGTCAGATCTCTTCCTCTTCACTGGCCTTACTCCAGCGGTGGCAGCAGTTGGCAGTGATGCCCAGGAGGAAGTTGGTGGCCACAGAGGCGATGGAGACCACGAAGCCCACGAATGCAATGAATAGGTAATCGTCCAGGGTCAGGGTCAGGTGGCAGGCCTTGAAGCTCTCCTCAGTAAGTGAGAAGAGCGGGGCGCCCTCGACTTCAGGGGGGCCCCGGCACTCAGCCAGCTGAGAATCTGTAACACAGAAGTCAGGGAGGGTGAGGTACCCGGGGAGGGAGGGGATTGGAGAGCCCCCCAACAACCGCTCACTGGAAAAAGAAGAAAGACATTCATTGCATTCATTGAGGTTCTTCCATGTGCCAAGAATTCTACTTATCTCCTTTTGTTCCCTCAACAACACTCAAGGCAAGGATTTTTATGCCTGTTTCTATAGATGTGGAAAGTACTGTTTAAAAGTTTAGCAATTTGCTGAAAGTCATCTGGCTATGACCAGTGGTAGATCTGGGGACACCATCATCTCTTACAACAACCTCCCAACTGGTTTCTGGGCGTCAGAAGGTGTCTGTCCTCAGCCTGCAGCCTGGGACCTCACCAGAAGCTGACAAACCATTTTAATACAGTCAGCTGGGTGGTTCTTTCAAACCTGATGTCCTGCCATGCCTTCTCTACTTAAACCCTTCCCTGGATTCCTGTCTTTGAATGGAGCAAAAACCAAGGTGCTCCCTGTGGGCTACAGGGACTCCTTCCCATCTCTTCCACTCTGTTCCTTATTTACTCTGCTCCAGTCACACACACCTCCTGGTCATCCTTCCATAACCCCAGAGTATCCCCTCTTGAGGCAGGGAAGGGATGCTTTTGCATTTGTCCCTTTGGGAGGGAGCTTCTCCCCTTGATCTCTGCACAGCTCAGCTCCCCACTTCCTTTGGGACTTGACTCAATGCCACATTATTAGTGAGGCCTTTCCTTAAGACTCTGAATAAAATAGCACCCCACTTCACCTCCCCCTGGGCTCCCTATCTTACCTGCTCTTCTCTGTTTTTCTATGTAGTGTTGATCACTGCCTGAAAGTTTATTGGTTTATTTTCTGTCTTCTCCCCTTTCAATATAAGCCACTCCCATGGTGTCTTTAGCATCAGAACGGTGTCCTGTCCATAGTAAGTGCTTGATGAATCTTTACAACGTGAATATAAGACTCTGTCCAACTCCAAATCATTGGGCCTTTCCACTACTTATGTGGCTTTTCTGGATACACAGAGTATAGGTTAAGAGTATGGGTTCCAGAGCTATTGGCCTAGTTTCAAATCCCCTCTTCACCCCTTGCTAGTTGCATGATTACGGGTAAGTTATTTAATCTCTCTGTGTCTTGACTTCTTCATCTGTCAAATGAGGATAATAACAGTATCTACTTTTTAGGGTTGTAGTGAGGATTCAGTGAGTTAACATATATGAATTATATGTTACATATTGTAATATATATAATATATATAAAATATATTTCAATTATATGAATTATTGTATTGGTTGTTTTCCCTAGACAGGTCATTGGGGGTCATATTCTGCACTCAGCCTTCTGTAGGAGGGGCTGCTTTTTCTGGTGGGGTTATTGTTATCTTCAGCATTGATGGTCTCATCTCATCCTTCTGGGGTTGCTTTTATGAGTGCATGATGGCTGTCAATGGTCTTATCTCACTCTGCCTGGGAAGTAAAGGTAGTGTGCAGGTGACACTCTTGCCATGCAGCATTAGGCACCAGCTTTTGAGCAGCCAATCATTCCTTTGTTTAGTGGATAAATATTAATCAAGCTCTTACCTTGGGTAAGTCTTCTTCTTTTTTTTTTTTTTTTTGGTCTTTCTGGCTCTCATGCTCTGCCTCTATAATAAGGGGCCTCTATAAAAAGGGGATAATCCAGCCAGGCACAGTGGCTCACGCCTATAATCCCAGCATTTTGGGAGACCAAGGCGGGTGGATCACGAGGTCAAGAGATTCAGACCATCCTGGCCAACGTGGTGAAACCCCGTCTCTACTAAAAATACAAAAATTAGCTGGGTGTGGTGGTGCACACCTGTAGTCCCAGCTACTTGGGAGGCTGAGGCAGGAGAATTGCTTGAACCTGGGAGGTGGAGGTTGCAGTGAGCTGAGATCGCACCACTGCACTTCAGCCTGGGTGACAGAGTGAGACTCGGTCTCAAAAAAAAAAAAGAGGATAATCCAATCTAAATTTTCTGAGAGTCAATATGAAGACATTTTCTAAATTACGTGTTGTATAAATGCTACGTATTCATTCTGCAGTTTTTGAGGGCAAGGAATCAAATGATGGATTTGGATTGATCCTTTTAAGAATTGAATCAGCAGCAATATCCTTGGAAATGGGGAGTCAGGTTTGGAAGGAGAACACAACCTTCCCCAAATCCCAGGTTGAGTAATCCCTGTAGGCTGTGAACACAGGATCCGTGTGCTGCCCAGGCCAGGATCCTGTCTGGGGTTGACTCGCATGAGCTCTCCTCTGGAAACCCGAAGATGCTGAACTCTAAAGTCTGTTATGTAGGTGAAGTGGGTAGTGGTGAGACAGGGAGATGGGGAATGTGGCAACACTCATATGGACCAGCCAGAGGAGCCCCTGACAGCTGTTGGTGGGACCACACAGGATGCAGGATGGGAACATGGAGGCTGACAAAACCCCCTGGTATGTCAAGGCACCAGTCTTAAAGTCATGCTGTATCCCAGGGGCTTGCTTATTATGGCCCTCTTTGTTCAGTTTTTCCAAAAACCACGGGTAACAGTGGAGTTCCATGAAGAAAAAGGGAGGAAGCAGCTGAAAAGGACCTAAGGAGAAGAGCATCCCTAGTTCTGCCTTCACTGGCAAGGTTTTGTCCTTAAGGAGAAGCACCCTGGTGCATGTGACCTGGTGTAAAGTGTGTTCTGTGGAGGAACAGGGAACCTGGCTTTCCAGCTGGGCCTGCTTGCTTCCTCATCCTGGGCCTGTGGACAGCCCCTGTCCCCCTCTGGAGCTCAGGTTCCTCACCTGTACTGACGTATGTGTGAGCCTACACTGATGAAATCTTGGACCCCTCTCCTGCTTGCTGGGAGTCTGAGCTTCTGCAGAGCAGCAGGGACCTCAGAGATCACAGAAAAGGAGTCCCCGGGTGTGATGGAAGCTTAGTGCTTCGGGTGCCCTTTCTGTTATTAGTGCACAGGAGAGAGAGGGGAGGCGCGGCCTCTGCCGAGGTTGAGCAAGCGAGGAGATTGCTCCAGGCAGCCTCCCCCTCCTGCCCTCCACCATCGCCCCATCCCAGTCCCCAGCTATTTTGGTGCCAGAGAATTTCCTCCTACAGTTCTGTGGAAACACTGGAATCGTGACCCACAGCCCTCCCTAAACTATTTTGGTCTTGGGCTCCCCACTCAGTCCTCCTCTCCCTTTTACCGCATTCAGCATTGCTTCTTCTCAACATGTGCTGAGCTCACGTTCTGGGAAAGCCCCTGGGGTAGGGCCTTCAGCTACTACTTATAAGTGCTTGTGCCAAGCCTTGGTATTGTCACACAGGAGAGCTGGTGGCTAGGGCCGCGGCTGAACATTACCTGCCTCTGGGTCAGGCTCAGATGCCTCTGGGTTGGGACGCCCATCAAACCTGTGTGATTCGGGCTCCTTCAGGCCCCAGTCTACCCTCCAGTTGGGATTCGCTGGTTGAGTTGCTGCATCTCACTCTTCCTCTCAGCTCCCTACCTTGTGCCCAAAGTTTACACTGCTCAGGGCCTTGAGTTTGAGGAAGGCCAGGTTCTCGTAGCTGAGGTCCAGGTCATGGAGTTGCATGAGGTCCTGGAACTCTACTGCAGCCCTTTGGCCAGTCCAGGACTCAGGTTCTGACTCTTCTGGCAGGTCAGAACCTGACTTGTCAGGATCTAGTCAGGGAGATTGCCAGGACTCAAACCCTGGCTTCAACGCTTAGCAGCTGTGTAACTTCCAACAAGCTACTGAACCTCTCTGTGCCTCCTCCTACAGAGGAGGAACCTCAGCTTCCTCCTCTGTAGAGTGGCAACCTCATTAGTGTTCTTCTGGGGATAGGAAGAGATAGGTAAAGCTGCTTAAGAAAGGGCCTGGTAAATAGCAAGTACTAAGGTTCAAGTTCCTCCTGGAACATGTTGGCTGTCACACAGCTTAAGCTGTGGTGGCTCTGTTGAGATTGTGTTAGCCATTACTATTTATACGAGAGTTTCCAACACTGGGAATGCTAAAAGAGCAGTCTGGTAGACTAGAACAGGGCTTAGAAGTCAAATAAATCTAGGTTTTATTCATGGTCCTGCCACTTTCTAGTTTTTTAGTTTTTTTTTTTTTTTCATGGCCGTGCCACTTTCTAAGTGCGTGATTCCTGTCAAGCCTTTTTATTGTTCTAAATCTCAGCTTCTTCACCTGGAAAATGGGTATAATCAAAATGGGGGTCTCATGAGATAATGGAGGCCAAGATCTTAGGTCATGGTGAAAGCTCAAGAAGAACCACCAACGATGTGCTATTCTCACTTGTCTACTATCCGTCTGCCTCATTAGCTCATGAGCACCACAGTGGTGAGGGACATCTATTTCATGAATGAATGGGCATTGCATGCATTGGAAGGATTCTACAAACAACCTGTTGGCAGAGCTGGTGTACAAAGAGGCAAGCCCACACTAGAAAACGCAGTAGGTGCTTTCCGGCTCGAAGTCCCTCCCTTTTCTTTGGAGCCTTTGCTTCCATTGAGGCAAGCCCTCCCCCTGTTGGCTGCCCCGTCCTACCCCTCCATTACCTGCTGTACAGCGCTGGATCCGGTTTCGCAGCCACTTCAGAAGGGGCTCCATGGTGCAGCCACACACCCAGGGATTGCCGCCGATCTGCAAGGTCACCAGCCCCGGTAGGCCCTCAAGAGCCTCCAGGCTGAGGGAGGCCAGGCCCCCATAGCTGAGGTCCAGGTCTCGGAGCTGCACGAGGCCCTGGAAGGCCTGGGGGTGCACCCTCCGCAGCCAGGGGTTGTGGCTCAGGTCGATGTGGACCAGCCCATGGGCCTCCTGGAACATGTCGGCTGGCACGTGGCTGAAGTTGTTGTAGCTCAGATCCAAGTGTGCCAAGCGCTTGGCATGGAGGAAGAGGCCCCGGGGCAGTTCCATTAAGGAGTTGTTGCGCAAATCCAGCACCCGGAGCTCCATGTAGCATGTGAGGTAGCCAGGCGGCACCGCTGTGATGCGGTTGTGGGCCAGGCTGAGGTTTTGGGTGTCCATTGGCAGGTCTGGGGGCACAGAGAATAGCCGCTGGCTGCTGCAATCCACCACCTGGTTATGGCATGTGCAAAGGACTGGGCAGCTGGTGCCAGCGTCCGAGTGCATCAACCCGGCTGCCAAGAGGAGGGAGACCAGCAGCATTGCCGGTTGGGGTGGCCCGGGCCAGGGAAGCTGGGCCCAAGTGTCACCCATCTTAGGCAGCTGGCAACAGCAGTGCTGGAGGGAGCCCATGAGGACTGTGTCCATGGAATCGAGAGTCTGTGACACAGGAAGGCAGCTACATCTGGGGCCAGAGTCTGTGAAGGTGGAGCTTCTGAGCATGTGGTATCATGGCTAGAGACTTTCCCAGGAGCCTCTGAGCACCAGAGGGCTTCCTGAGATCCACGGGAGGTCCCCTTCCGGAGCCTAGGGGGCGAGACACCTAGTTGAGGTCTCCCAGGGTCTGGAATGATGATCAAAACCTGAGAAAGGGAGGGGACAAGGATGGGGCTGGGTCAGCTGCCAGCAGGTCCTGGAAAAGTTCCTGCAGATCTTTTGTGTCTCTCTCACCCATGCCTGCTGGATGTTTCCTCCTGGTGCTGTGTCTGGGAGGGAGGGGCTGAAGGAGATCAAAGGTGCCCTTTAAAGATCCTTGGCACTTCTTCTGAGAAAACTTAAGTCCTGTCCCACGTCTGGGACTGATTAGGAAGCCAGGGTTGCACCTGGGTCTCCAGTGTTGAAGGTCTCAGTGGCCATTTGTCCTGGTGGCCTGGTGGGCTTGAGTCCAAGGGGGTCCCAGGGTGGGTGTTTTGGGAAGAGGACCCAGGAGGAAGTGAGTCTCCATGGGTCTCCTAAAAGTCTGAGAGTCCTCAGCCTCAGTGGCTGCTGGAATCCCCAGGGAGCCTCTTTTTTTTCCAAAGAGAGGAGGACCCCAGGTGATGCCCACTGTCTGGGCCTCCGGGGCCAGAAGAAGCCATGAGTCCCGAAGGTGCAGGCTGAGGGTCAGCTGGCAGAGCTCTGGCAACTTCTCCAAGCCAGCGCCTTCCTCAGCACAGCTCTGTATTCAGCAGGTGGAGGCCGAATTCCCTCTGTCAACAAGAAAAACACTCAGGCAGAGAAATCCTGTGCCCTCGACACCCCCTTGTTCCTTCACCTAGGACCCTTGTCTTATCTCTGTCTCTTTCTTTCCTCCCTTCTTTGCTTCCCCCAACCACAAAGTTCTCTGCTTACCGTCTCTCAGGTGTGGGCCATGGTACCTTCAGACCCCAGGCTCATGTTGCTGTAACCCACGAGCCCTCCCTGACCCAACCTGCAGCCATCCTCCTCTCGGTTCCCGTCTTGGGTAAGATGCATTTTCTTCTTCTTCTCATCACCCCATCCCCATCAGTACCAAACACTCCACCCTTGAACAACTCCCTAAGAAAAACAGGCATCCACACTCTGGGGGTTTGCACACTCCTTTCAAACACTCTAAGCGCTTCTCTCTCTCTCTGTCTCACACACACACACACTCACTCACACACCATTCTGTGACTCCCCCATGTTTTGCCCTGCCCCATGCTCACACCTCACGGTTTTCGCTCCAGCTTCCTTCTGCACAGGCGATCCTGCAGACCCCTCCCCATTCGACCTCCAGCATCTTTCGCCTGCCAGCCCACACCCCTCATCCCAGCATCCCTTTCCACACACTGCACTCTCCTGCTCGCCGCCCGCAGCAGAGGGACCGAGAGTGATGCCACGCCCAGAGCCTCAGCCCTCGCGCCCCGCGCCCTCTCGCTTCTCCCTTGCCCACCTGCTGTCCTCGGTCCTCCCCTCACCCTAGGCCTGGCGGTGCCTATTTTCCTACCGCTTCAAGCCTCAATCCCGCCCACCGGGAAATCACCCCAGCTGCCCTTCATGCAGACTCATTTTTTCTGAGCCCCAGGTCTCCCTCTGCACTCCCACAGGCCCCAGGAGCCTACTCACTCCGTTCCAAGGACACAGCCATCAATCTGCGGCAGACGCGGGTCTCCCTCCCTCCTCCTGGAATCCCCGCTCGCTCCTTGCTTGCTTCGGAACAGATTGCCTCCCCGGCTCTTCCCCTCCCCCGGCCTCTCCTCCTCCTTGTCTCCTGGATCCCAGGCCAGCATCTTCTGTGATTTCCCGTCCTGCGGTCCCCCTGCCCCTTCTTTCACCCAAAAGGAAAATCACAGAGAAAGGATGCTCAGAAGAAAGTTCACAGAATCTGAATGCTTCTTTCTGAAACTCAGCTGGTGCCCAGGCTGCTGGGGTATAAGGCTTCCGGCAGAGCCAGGTCTTCCCCCTCCCTTCCCCCTTCCCACCCTCTCTCTCTCCCTCCCTCCATCCCTCCCCCTCTTCTCTCCCTTTTTCACTCCCCTTTTTTCCTCGAGGGCCAGGTACTGACGTTTCACTGTCTCTTAGCAACTGCCTCCACATTTCTGAGCAACAGGGGAACTGGCTGTGGACCCCACCACGAAGAGAGAGGAGGGAAGGAAGCACCGGGCAGAATTCACAGCTGCCCACAGAATCCTGGGGATAGAACGAGGGGAAGAAGGGGAGACAAGGGTGGGCAACTGGACAGGGGCAGAGAAAGAGGAGCAGGCAGGGCCCAGTGGGAGATGTTGTAGTAGGGGCAAGGTGTGGACCTGGAATCTGAGACACAGGAGGGACAGCTTAAGGGCATCAGATCCAGAAGAAAAAACTAAGAGGGCTTGCAATGAATGGAGAAAGGGACTTAATGGGGGATGGGAGAAGTGAAGAATGGGGGCATTGAAAACATGAATAGGAATGGAAACAAAAAGGAGATGTGAATATGACAAGTTTGCTCACTTGATGGGATATATCTTTGTAGTCACCATATAATATCTACTTACCTGGGTTGGAATGTATTTTGGGCTCCAGGTACCAGGTGATTGGCTCAGGGCTTGTTAGGGACCATTATTGCAGGAGAGACCTTTTATATGTTCCCTGATGTTCCCTAAGTCCTGACCCCATGGGCTTTCTGGGGCTAGGAGGCTTGGCTGGAGTGGACCGATTTCCCCTTGGCTTGGGATATGAGAACTTTTGGGATCCAAAGGGCCAACTTCTTGGCCAGGTGGGGGCACCTGGGGCTCTACAGACACTTGGATCTGTCAAGGGGAAAGGAAGCTTGTGATCCTTCTTTCTCCAGGCCCAGGGGATTCTGTCTGTTGTCTCGTTCTCATCCTTCCAAGCTTCCTTGGAGTGACTTCAGATGAGGATGAAATTTGTGCAATATCTGTTTTCTTGCTGACCCATTGAACAAGTCTCTAGCTGTCCTGCATTTTAAAAATTGTCTTGACCAGTTGGTTTGCTCAAAGAGCTGGCTTATTTCTTTGCTTAATAAATATTTATTGAGCATTCACTGTGTGCTGAGTACTTGGCCAGACGGTGGGTAACAAGATGAACATAGACTCCTCCCTCATGGAGCTGCTTCATTCCGTTGACCTGGGGCCTCTCGCGTTTAAGTAACAGCTTAGGTCTTTGGAGGAACCAAAATGGAGTAATAGGAAACAACGAGTGTGAAGTTATACAGATTCTGATCCTTTATAAAGTTCTTAAAATCATGGCCGTTGTCTTCTCTAACATGATTCTTTTTCCTATACGCTTGTAGAAAATCAGCTCCCTTCTGTGTTCTCTCAGATGTTCATTTTGAATCTTTCATGTTCTACAGTCTCTGGCACAGAGTAACATGGCAGCCACTCCGTAAATATTTATATATTGAGTTGACTAAGGTAAATGAGCTTTCTCTCCCTGCTTAAAAAAGGAAATGTTTGTTCCATCTCATTTATGAGTTTAGAAGTAAAATATTAATCTTAACCCAGAAAACACAACACAATGAAACAAGTAATCCATTCTAACTGAGGACTGTTGGCCTCCGGAAAGCAAAGCTAGCGTCCTATGTTATTAACATTAACTGAAAAATGGTAGAAAACATAATTATCTGAATGGAGGCTAAAAAAGCTATCCAGCATAATTCAAAATTTAGTGTTGACTAAAGGTAACTTCTGAAGATTTTCTTCCTTTACGTGATACGAAGTTTATATTTAAAATTAGAATTTATAATATAACTAAAGGAAAATATTAGTGACTGTGTTCCTTAGAAAATAGGATCTAGATAAGAATGCCTCATCACTGTTTGAAACTTCAGTTTCTGACCTATGAAGTAGGGATAATGACGCCTAAGTCACAGGGTTGTTAGATATATGACCCATTATAAATAAAGCACTTAGAACACTATACAGTGAGCAGTACAAATGGCTCTGTCAAATGAACAGATAAAACAAAGTAAAACAAACAAATAGCAGAGTATAAAATCTCTGAAACAGTTATGGAGAAAGAAAAACAAATTGCTCAGAAAGTAAAAAGTTAAGAAAGGAGAATATTACATTTGCAGATGGTTTGAATGTATTCTTGTGCAAATGAGTTGCAAAACCTTCAGAAACCCGTAATTCAAGAACATTATCATTGCATATATCTTCTGTAGAAGTGAGGTTCAATGAGACAGAAATATTTTATATGACTTTATACTTTTAATCATTTGATGAATCATTATGGGATTCTGTGAATCCCAAATTGGTGTCCCAAGGTACACTGTGTGCCATGAGGTTCTTAAATAAGTTTGAGAAACACTGAGTTAAATAAAATGAAACTAGTTTATTTATTGTAAGATTTCTCAGAGGCTATAATGTGTGAATGGTTAGGGCCAGTCTGCAAGTGACAGCATTGGGGAATGAGGAATATATAATATCCAGCATTTCCTAAACTTACTTGGGATCTGTAATTTTCTTTTATCTTCTGCTCTCCCTCCCCTACTGCCTTTCCCTCTCCCCTTCCTCTCCTATTCTCACCTCTTTTACCTCCTCTTCCTTCTTTTTGTCAGAACTGTTAATATTGGGAATAGTTTTTGATGAGCATGGTTTGGGAAATATTAAGCTAAAATTTATTATAGACTATTCCTTGCTTAAGTATCTTTAGTAATAGCAGTTAGCTTCCATAGAAGTCATTTTATTTTTTTTTTACACAAAGAAATGTGTATCACTTTATGAGAGTTACTAGATATGTAGATAATAAATTCAATGAATTCATTCAATGAATTCATGTTGAGACACCCATACTGGGTGGCTGGCTGTTTCCCTTTGCAAAATGACTTTTACCTGCACAGCATTCTTGCAGTAGGAGTGATTCTATTTTGAACCCCAGCAAAATGATAAATGATTATGTGTCATGGCCTTTTGGGGTCTCTTGCAAGTTATTGAAACTGTGATTGTTCAATTCATGATTGTCAAGGATTTACTCTACTGGGAAAATACACAGACATCAATCAAAAAGTTGTACAAATGAAATGAGCTGAAAAATAATTTTCATTACTATGATTTCCCAAATACACGCTAAATTAGTTGTAACAATGGCAGGAAATCTTTAAATACATGAGAATTAATTTAATCTACCACATAAGAAATTCATTCAAGGAAAATTATGAAACCTTAATAGAATGAAGATAGAGGAAGAAATGGAAAAAGGTAATCTCTCTAGTTGCTGGGAATGTGTAAAAATAACAAAGCTGATTCTGCTTTCTTCATTATCGTAGCTTAAAGTATCTGAATCAGAATCTGGTGAACTGGTAATGAAAACCATTTGGGAGAAAAACTGGCAAGAATGCACAGATCATGTTAATGAGATGATGGTGATGATGATGACCATGGAAAATGCTTCCAAGTAATGATAATGGACTCATCTAACTAAAAGATTTTAAAAAGTTTTGCAAACTAAAAATCACTTGATGACCTCACTAAATATTTGTGCTTTCTATTCACAATAGCAAAGACATAAAATCAACCTAAATGCCCATCAGTGATAGACTGGATAAAGAAAATGTGGTACCTATTTACTATGGAATACTATGAAGTCACAAAAAAAGAGTAAGATCATGTCCTTTGCAGGGACGTGGATGGAGCTGGAGGCCATTATGCTTAGCAAACCAGTGCAGGAACAGAAAACCAAATACTGCATGTTCCCACTTATAAGTGGGAGCTAAGTGATGAGAACACATGGACACATAGAGGGAAACAACACGCACTGGAGTCTATAGGAGGGTGGAGGTGGGGAGGAGGGAGAGGATCAGGAAAAATAACTAATGGGTACTAGGTTTAATACCTGGGTGATAAAATAATCTGTACAACAAACCCCCATGACACAAGTTTACCTATGTAACAAACTTGCACTGTACCCCTGAACTTAAAATAAAAGTTAAAAACCATTTGTTCTTTGAAAAATGACCATAGAAGAGACTATAGTTTCTGGAAGTGGTTCTCACTATCAGAATATAGAATATGAAAAATGGGAAACTGCAACAATGTTGGAATCAACCTCAAAGCAAGAAATGGTCTTGAGACATTAGCTCCATACTTCATTTTTCTGCTCTGAAAAAAATCCAAATGGTCCAAAGAAAGAAACAAGCCATAAAAAAAATACGAATCAGGAAGAGAGCAGAAAAGCACATTTATCTTAGCTGTGGAGAGAAGATATCTTTCTGTGTGTGGAGGAAATGTACCATGTCATTTTTCAAACATATGACATTAAAAGACAATGGGGTCTTGCTGAGCAAAAAAGGATAAAACAAAATCAGAGAGAAAGGAGAGACAGTCAATGGAAAAATAAACAACATGAAAATCATTTGACATAATACATGGAAAATACATTAAGAATTGCTATAAATACAGTTCTTACAAATTACTGTAATACACGAATTACTCCGATACAGAGACAGAAAATATAACATTGTGGTAGGTAAGATTCTAAGATGGCCCTTGTGCTAGATAGAATAATGGGCCCCCAAAATGTCCACTTTCTAATCCTCAAAACCCAGGAACATGTCATCTTAAGGGACTTGAGATGGGAAGATTAGCCTGGATTATGCAGGTGGGTCCGAT